TCGCCATCTCCTTCTTCATTTTTTCGGAACACGCGCGCGTTTCGAAATGTTGTAGAAAATTACACGAATGACAAGCTAAATGTGAAACGACTGCGTTTCTTCTTTTTTTCCCCCCCCCCCAATGCGAATATCGGAAAGAAACGAATTTCGCGTTGACTCTGTTTCTTTCTTCTCGTTTCTACGGGGCGGTAAAAAAAAAGATATATCCCTCGTGGGTGAGATTTTGTTATTTCGAACGTTAGTTCGCGAAATGACGTTTCTCCACATAATTAATTCTTAAAGCCGCCTTTGCTGGTCGAGCGCAACTTTGTCAATTAAAGTACTTTTATCTTCAGTCCTTGTTTTTTTTAAGGGACAACACGCAACGTATTTTTAAACTACGTTATAAATTGTTAAGACGACGTGGGCTTCGATGCGGCGTACGTTGCGCAACGAAACGGAATACGGCAAGGTGAACGCATAAAAGTTCACCCCGGTAACGAAGCGCCAAGGATAAACGCGGTTACGCGAAATACCGGATTTGTGGAATCAAGTTCTGAGTGTAATCGGCCTTAATCGGTTTTCGTTATCGGTTACACGATCGGTCGTATCGTAAATGTTTCAGGCGACGAAATTACAGCGATGACGATTACGACGACGATAGACGATTGTCGATATTACGCCCGATATCTCCTCTCTCTTTCTTTCTCTCTCTCTCCTCGCTCCCGATATTTATGTTAATCGATACGGCGAGAAACGGACTTAAGTGTCGTTCGTGTCCAGGGTCAGTTACATCGCGACGTCGCGACGCGGAATTGTATTGTAGTGCATCTGCATTTTACCGGTACCCGTCTATGCCCGATATTAACTAGTTGTGCGCACGCGACTATTGTTTTTCGAAACATTTTTATATTGACAAAGAGAAGACATGCTCGTTAACTGTGAATACCAATAAATAGATCAGCAAAAGGGCCAATAATGACGAGCTATATAAGGTGAAAGTGTGAGAAAATTATGTTTGCACAATGAACAAAAAGAAACCGAACTTTTCGACTACT